CAGGGAGGGAGGCTTGCCGTGGAGGATGGCCCCCAAGGAGAAGGGCGTCCCCAGGGTGGGGTCCAAAGGAAGGAAGTAACCCCAAGGGAGGGGGGGGTCATCAGGGGAAAGGGTGCCTCGAAGAAAGAGAGGCCCCATGGGAAGGAGGCCCTATGGGGAAGGGGCCCCCCAGAACACGGGGTCCTGCTGACACCCATCGGGGATGAGGGCTGTGCGGTCCCTGGCTCTGCGTTCCACCGAGGTCTGGACATGGGGGTGGTGCGTCACCTCCTCCGTCACCCCCAGGGTGAGACCGCCGGGGGCTGCACTGTGCCGCAGCCCTGGAGGATCTCTCGGATGTCCCCAGATCTCGCGTCGTCGCCGAGAAGTGGCTGATGGGGAACAACGAGAAGGTCCTGCTCGAGCGGGGTTGCTCATCGTCGTCTTTTCTTCCAGGGGGATTACACCTGCACCTTCACTTACTCAGCTCAGGGAGGAACGAACGAGGTGAGTTGGGAAAACCTTCAGGCGTTTCCCTTCCGCTCAGTCCCTACAGCTGCACAGAGTGAGAAGCTTTTCAGGACTATTTCATCTGTGATGAGCTGATTCCAGGGACCAGGAGCTGTGAGGAAGCGTGGTTGCACCATTGCCAACGCTGTATATTCGCAAAAGTAACTTGTTGGATTTGCTCCCTGAAGGGAAGCGTCCTTCATGTGTTGCAATGATGCTGTGGTTCGTGAGGCTGTGACATTTGTAAGGCTTAACAAATCTCTGGGCTGAATGTCTCTGGAGAACAGGGAATGACATTTTCATACCCCGGTTGGTAAGGGAGGACCTTGTAGGAGTAACTCCTGCATTCTTTAGGAGGCTTGAAGGTTCTTTGCAGCTTGTGTTGCTGCCTCGGTAAGTGCTGTGCAGATACACAGTTTGTACTTTCTTATCTGCAAGTCCTGTTAAAATCGGGTCCTTTTCTTTTAGCGCAAAGGGAAATGAGACTTTAACTCCTTTCTGTAACTGTACTAATGAGATTGTGGAGACTGGAGGGCAACCAGGCCTTGACCTGTGTGACACACAAAGTAAAAGGGGCCATCAGCAAGTGTTGTGTAGTTATGTTGTGTTATTTTAGAACAGTTGAAACTCGTCATGCCTGCAGCTGGGAGGGGAGGTGACTGGCCTCAGGGGTGAGCGGGGAGCACACGGCTCTCACCCACATTAACTGTTTGAACCTTTCCCCTCTGCAGCAATGGCAAATGAACATTGGAGTCAGTGAAGACAACCTGCTCTTCTCCTGCTCCGTCTGGAGGTGTGTTCTTCAACCCCAAACTCTCTGAGGCAAAAGCAACCATAAGGCAGGTGGGATCTGGGCCAGGGACCCTGCCTCCCAGCTGGCTTTGCCTCTCTGCAGGGCAGCACCGGAGGGCTTTCCCCTCCCGAGACACTGTGACTCTGGGTGGGCTGTTTAGCCAGGCGGTGGTTTATAAATGCTGTGTTCCCCCCCTCCACCTTCCTCACTCAGAGCTACAAGAGAGCCGGAGGTGGCTGTGGAGGGAGGGAGCCATGAATCCTGGGCTCAAGAGCCATGAATCGTGAGCTCATGTGCACCTCCACCCTCTCTGCCAATGTCAAAGACACTGATTTCTTGTTTCAGGCCTCAAGGGAAGTCTTATCTCTTCTTTACCCAGTTTAAAGCTGAAGTGAAAGGAGCCAAGATAGAGTATGCCATGGCTTATGTAAGTCCCAGCTGATTACTTGGAAGCAGGCATGTGGGAGGCTGCTATAAAACATGAATTGGACATGGAAAACATTCATTAGACATCTGTGCAATAAAATGCACTCCATCACATCCCTAATTAGAGAGTGGTGGCAGTCAGGAGAGTGGCTGCAGGTAGGCTCTCCTGCGCCATTTTATTTCTGTTCCCTCAATGCCATCAGTTTGCTGCTGGCTTTGCTGGCGTCGGTGACTCCAAAAGACACCACCCTGCCAGAGTGCACTGCACAAGGGGAGTCTTGGTTTTCCTCAACAAATTGCATGTGACAAAGTAAATAAAACCTCTGATGGTGCTTTTGTCTGGTTCATTCTTCCATTTCCCAGTCTTCCGTGGTGAGGCTTTCAGTCACCCGAAGGACACAAGTCCATGGTTTAATAAGAAATGGAAAAATAGCCAGAGATCTTCCTTCAGATTTTCTTTGTGGACTTAATTCTTTTGCTCCATATTAAAAGAACAAATCTGTTCTTTTTAAAAATGTGCTGCTGTTTGTTTGTTTGCTTTAAGTAGTAGTACAGTAGCTTCTTGGATTGCCTCAACTGCTTAAACCTTCTTCCTTCCCATTTCAGTCTCAAGCTGCGGGTGGACAAAGCGACATCCCCTTAAAACAGGAAGAATTTGAAATCACCGAAACAACAGGTCTGTGACAGAGAACTATGTGAGAAAGGGGCTGGCGGGGGAGACAAAGCTGGCTGTCTACCAGGGGACGAGTATTTAAGCTTAATGCAGATAGGTGACAATCTATAGGAGGACAGTGCATGTTATCCAGTTGGGGGTATAGTGTTCTTGATCCATAGCTGCCAGCAGGATTTTGCAGGTCCCGTTCCAGTGTAAATGTTAAATTAGCATGGGGGAAGAACGGGTTTATCACAACATGCTTGTCGCGTGCATAAGAAGGAAGTGCAATGCCCGACTTGCTGGCTTTATCATCCTGGAAAGGAACCAGCAGGGCTGTTTTTGTTCATGCCTTACCATCTGTTTATCCTGTGCTTGTTTTCTCTCTTTCTAGTGTCTCACAGAGAAGGCAAGTTCCGTTTTGAACTGTCCAAACTCATGATTGTAGCAAAAACGCCTCGTGACGAGCTGTGACCCCGAGGCCAGTGTTGGGCCGAGTGTTTTGGGTGGAAGAGCATGGCAGATAAAGAGGATTACGTGTTAACTGCGGGTTTTTTTTGGTTGGCCAAACCTTTTATGTTTTCCATATTGAAATGTGCCAGGGTCCAACACGAGTGGGGCTTGGAGGTGTTAAGACAGATGCATTCTGTCTTGTGTCAGAGTAACAATGTGCTTTGCAGCTGGAAACCTCCTCTGAGACTCCTGATCTGCAGCCAGCCATTCTGTCTCCCGCTTTCTGCTTGGTTGATCTGCTGAATATGGTAAAGCTCCCCTCGAACAGGGGCTCCTTATCTCCCTTGCTAGGAAGAGCAATGCAGAAAGATAAGTGGCTGGATTTAAACACAGTTTGCTAAAGGAAAGTTCTTAACTCTGTAGTCTCTAGAGGGGAAACAGGATTTCTCTCTCTGCAAGCATGACAGGAGGAAATAATTAAATTGGGTGGGAGGGGGAAGGAAGAGATAGAGTTGGCCAAAGCTATCTGACTCCTTGTTGAGTGCGGCTACCGAAGACGATCGCTGGCTTCGCTGGGGAGGATGTTCTGGACCTGCCCTAGTGCAGAGCGCGGGTTGAGATAACTTGGCATGGGGAAGGCAGAGCTGCTTATTCTGACACAACCCAGGAATCAATCCAAGCAACACTTTCATGTCTCAGTATAACTGCAGGACTATTTTCTACGTACAGAAGTGATTTTTTTCTTATTTAGAATAATAGCAGTGAGGGAATCTGAAATTCCTTTCCTGTGTAAATACAACACAAATAAAGAAATAAAGCATCGTGCTCTGGCCTGAGTTTGCTTTGCTCTGTGACTCCTGCCTTCTCCAACTGGATGCCCAGCGAGTGGCGTGACCTTCGGCGCTTGCTTGGCCAGGAGGAGCCGAGATTTCGCGCAGGAGGTTGGAGGCTGCAGAGGGTTTACAGGGATTCTGCCCACCCAAGAGGAGTCCCGGCACATGAGAACAGGGCTCCAGCCGCGAGTTTGCGTAACTCGGCACTATCATCACGAGTGCTTTTGGTGAACGGTGATGGTTGTGGTTGTTGGTAGCGGCTTTGCCCGTTTGGGGGGAATTCCCTGTTTTTTGTCAGTCTGAGGGTGCTTTGCACTGGAATTTTACAAGCTCTGTTTTCCAGGCTGTTCCTAAATGCTTCTTTCTTCTGCTGTGCAGCTCCTTCTTGGATCTGCAGATACCTGCAGGGCCCAGGAGTGGTGCTGGGTGGGGAGGTGCGTCCCCAGTAATGCTCCTACCTGAGCTCCGAGCCGCACGTGCGGTGCTGGAGTTGCTGGTCTCTGGCCTCTCTCCCTGTTTAACCAGTTGCTTGGAGGGAACCAGTTCAAAGAGAGTTGAAGGGACTCATTTCCCAGACCCGTACAGCCAGAGCTGTGATGGGAAACCCAGGCCATAAAATGGCTCTTCTAGCAGAGAGTGTGCTCTCCAGGGCTTCACCCGGACAAAAAGGCAAGAATGTGGGAACGAGGCGGGTGTTTGCCACGGGGTGCAGGGGAGAAGCTGCAGATTAGGCACCTGTATGCGAAGGAAAGCTGGTGCCAGGCGTTCGGTGGGTTAAGCGTGGTCCTGGGGTGTACGAAACCCTGGGGACAAAGGGAAGAGCCGTGAGTCGGGGCTCATCTGAGCAGAGATGTTTCATGCAATTAAGCAGCATCTTGCAGCATCTTGACGCCGACACGCACCTCGAGAACGGAACAGCGAAGCGTTTCTGGCTGTCAGCGCAGCAGCCGCCGCGGCCGTCAGCTCCGTTCCGCTTTGCCTGCTCTCCGCATCTGCCGATAACTCCACCGAGCTCTTTCCAGCTCCTCTTCGGCACGTACCTGACAGCTGCCATGAGCCCACGGAGGGGAACGGGAACGTCTGTTCTCAAATGCCGCACGCCAAAGGCCGACTTCACCCTGCCCTCTCCGAGGGACCGACGCCTCGCTGGATCTTGGCCGTGTTCTCCGTGCACGCCTGTAAGTGTGCTTTACCCCCACCCCGAGCTGCGTCGCGCGATTAAATTAGCTGCGATAGTTGGAGCCCGGCCTGTGAAATGACAGAGATAGGGGCTTTATTTCTTTTATTTAATCTTTAAGGATGAAAGTTATCAGCGCCTCGAGCCAGCGGTGGAAAGGGAGCAGCGAACAGGAGCCGTGGAGCTGCTTTCCGCCCGTGAGCGTTGGCAGCCTCCGTGCCTGGAGACATCCCCTGGAACAGGAGGCACAAGAAGGTCGCGGAGATAAGGCCGGCTGAGACCGTGCGGCGTCTTGTGTGCTAAAAGGGCAATTTTCGGTGTTCAAAGCCGAGACCAGCGTGCTGGAAGCGGGCCATGGCTGGTGCATCCGCGCTCTGAGAGCACGCTGCTTTTACGACACGCCTGCATTGAATTCTGCAAAGTTGCCCGTTGCTTTCTGCTACCAGGGTTGTGCTTTTTTAGCTCCCGCTGTGCAGCGAGGGGACGCGGCGATGCAGAGGAGCACGCGTGGGTGTCTGTGTGGGAGCAGGATTTGCTCCCCCCGGGACCCCGGAGCTTTGCTATGGGTTTGTGCTGGGTTTTGCACCGCGTTTCCTCCCACCCGTTCAGCGCTGGCCATGCCACGGAGCCGGGGCAGCCTGGCCACAGTGATGCCGGGGGATGGAGAGTAAAAACCCCGGGTTGCGGAGAGAAGTCGCCATTTAAAAGACAAAACCGGCTGCCCCAGCGCTCATTTTATTGCTGTCGGCCGCCTTTGTAATGACCACACGGAGCACCCAGGCCAAACAGGTGAGTTTATTTAAATAACTCATCAGGGCTACAGAGTTTGCTAAAAAATAACAACCATAACTCAGTGGAGGACACATAAAACATAAGAAATCCTAGGGAGAGCCTTGGACAACCACCAAGGCAGGCGTCACAGCCTTCACAGTGGTACTGCTGCGGGAG